ATGAGAGGAAATGAATTCTCCTCTCAGCCCGTTAGTCTTATAGAACCCTGGAAGATGCCAAGGTGGGAGATGTCCTCCTGTGGATGTGCTCAAGGTGTCCTCTTCCAATCCTCTGTCAAGCTCGGAGGAACACTTGTCAGGCACAGTAATTTCCACTGTGAGGATTCCTTTCTTATGAGGTTATTCTTCCTCCAAGTTTTATTTGGAATATATTTGTTCAACTTCAGTGATGTACAGAATGCTGCGTCACACACAACTTCAGCCCTGCAGAAGTTGACAGTGTCGCAAATAGCTGATATACCAGTCAATAAATCCAAAGCCGGATAAAATAAATCCTTTCAGAAGCACTGATACCTCTCTGGGTTTGATGTGTCAAGCATTTTGTTGAAAGTTTGCAATGGAAGGGGACAACAAGGGGACCCAGAATTCATCACTCAAACCGAAGGCCTTCTAAAGAAGTTCAGGTTAAGGAAATGACTAAACCTAGTTCAATGCAAGAGCTGCATTCATCACTAAGAAAATAATCTTATCCTTCTGAATCACTCCTAGTTATTATTGTGTATAGCAGCTAAGAAAAAATGGTAATTTAAAAACATCTTTTCAGTAATGGAAGTCTAAGAATCGGTACTGATGTTTTACCCATATGCGCTGAAAACTGGCATTTAATAGGGATTCATCCTTAGATTTTAAAAATCCCATTCCTCCTTGCACAGAAATCTCAGGATGTGGTGTATCTGGAAATACCTTCCTAAAATATTTAGCAGAAAGAGAGAACAACGGTTCGGTGTGCTTACAGTGAGGCAAACATGCTTTAGCAATAAGGAGCCAACGTGCAGTCACGATGCGTCCGTTGTCAGCCTGGACTCCACAGACAGGTGAGTCTGGGTAGAGCTGCAGCCTGGGGAGCAGGGCCCCAGCAGGGACTTCGTGGACCTCACTGCATCTGTGACTTCCACGGCTGCCCAGTGACTTTCGCCAGACACAAAACTTGGCTTTTCCAAGTTGAAAATGTAAGGGGGCGATATCTAAACTCTGGCTGAGGAAAGACTCCCAGGGACTTGGCATCCCCTTCACTGGGTTACTGACAGTCCAAAGCAAATAAATACACAATCAGGAGTCTTCCCTTTCCTGCTCATGCATGAAAACACATGGAGGGGAAAGAAGCCTCTCCGGTCTCGCTCCAAGCCAGACTTCTGTAAGGAGCATGCCCTGCTGCAGTCATCGGGGGTCAGGGAGCAGCAGGAGTGGGCTCTACCCAAAGGACCAGGCAAGGCTACTCTAGCAACCAAGCTGCTGCACTTTAACCACTCTTCAGTGTCCCCAGGAGCAGTGGGAGCTCCAATATTTCTTCACAGTGTGTACTGGGATGGTAAACAACGACATCAAAACCTCTGTTTTATAATTGTGTTTGACCTCACAGATCTGCAAATGTTTTACTATCCTGACTTGACAAATAAGAGACATGTCTGCTAGTCAAAGTCACAGACCTGCTTTCAAATGCTTTCTATTTGAGTCCTTGTCCAGTGTCACTAAGCAGCTCATTATGGATTTGAAGAAAATAGAGCTAAACAAGTTATAAATTCCACAAACTAAGGAATTCTCCCTAAATGCCAGGGTCATTTACACTTCTTCCTATGACAGATGCTACTTTCCTCTTTCCCCAGGTACCTTCTCATGGGTCTATTTTCATTCTCTGCTAAGGCAAATTGTATTTCTACTCTCTTTAACATTTCATTTTATATATATACTTAATTTAATAAAACCGTTCATGCAGTACTATTAAGGTGCCTAAATACTTCAGTGTTTTGTAAGATGCTCTACATTGTAGGTGAATTAACACTAGCCAATGTTTCTCCGGGATGTTTTATGTGTGATTCCAATAGTCCTATGTATGAACCTCACTTGGAGATGAATCCATAAACATCAGGCAGTAAAATAAAAACGTATTTTCACTCTGATGTTTGGCTAATGATTCTGAAGACTTTTGCCCTGATTTTAAATACATTCTCTGACTCCCTGACCTAGCTAAAATTGCATTTCCATGAACAAGGCTCAGCTCTCCATCTTACATCATCTTCCAAAACAAGCAACACATTTCCAGGTGTGAGTATGCCAGTTAGAGGACCACATAAAAATGATGCAAGATCAACAAACCAGGTAAAATAATTATAAAACACAAGACTAAAGTACTCACTTAAATTCATATTTGAATATAATTATATAATCAGCTCTACTGAATTAAGAACTAATTCAGTTGAAAAGCAATGAAAGTTCACAGCTTTCAGAAGAAAGCCTACTTACTTGTTCAAATTCATTCTTCTGAAATTCTTCAAAACCAAAGATGTCCAGTATTCCGATGTCCAATGCCTGGGTGCTACAAGGAAACAAAGCACCGGAATAAACAGGGGTCCTGGGAGTCCCTCTACCCTCTGCTCGCTGCTGCTGGGGTCATTCTGAGACCACAGCAGGTCACCACCAATTTGGACTAAGAATCCACACATAGTTACTCAGAGTCTGACGGAAAACTCTGAAAGCAGCTAAGAATGATGTTTAAAGCTTTTGTCACAGCTACGGTAGTAAAAACACACGGCTTTCGAGTGTAAGCACGGAGCGGTATGAGCGGCATAACATTTGCTTCTCTGGACCCCCCAAGGGGTCTGTCTCTTGGACTGGACTCCCCTTCCTCAGGACCTTGAGCTGGGGTGGCAAGAGCCCATGTCCAGCGCCTCTTGCCAGCTGTCCTGGCTTGATGGTCCTCAGGGACAAGAGAAGGTAAATCACAGCCGACCACAGCCCCTCCTTTCACAGACCAGAGTTCGCCACTCACAAATTATGTTGTGATCTTCGAAACAGAATTCTCATAAATGAAGAATGAAGAATGGGAAATTCTGAAATTTAAATGAATCAATCTGGTTACGTAGTGATACATCTCACTGCTGAGTCCTCGGTGACCGAGGACAGGAGAAGACAAAGTTGCCTCAGTGGCAGTGGCCCTGAACACGCATCCCCAGACCCAAGGCTGCTCCTTGCAAAGGGAGCTCAGTGTGGAAATTGGGCCCCCATGGGGCACACCCCCATGCATGGGCCTCAGTGTCCAGGGCCTGCCTGCGTCCTGCCTTCTGCTGTGGGTATGGGTTCTGCCTGTTTGTTTTATTCATTCCCCTCTGCTTGCTTTGAGCCTAATTGGCAGCCAGGCCTGGTTTTACACCTGTATTTTGATTTTCACACATGGCACATCTTCATGATACTTTGGGTTGTAATATATCACTTGAGTGAACAGTTTTTCCTTTAAAAATGTAGAATGATGATCCTGTGGTACAGTATTCCGTCGGGTTATATTTTTGTATATTGTAGAAATATGAGCTTCATAAACAGGAAGGAGAGTGTGTAAAATACCTGTATCTAAACTTCCCAAGACAGCAGAGCAGGGAGGGATGAAAGAGACATTTGATGCTCACCTCTAGCGGATTTCGTGTGGTGCCAGGGGCTCTACCACTCCAGCTTAGGGCTTTGTGGAACTCAAGGAAGGAAATAGAGACCCAGAGCCCCACAGCCCCTGCTTGCCTCTCCCGCCCATGGGTGGGCTCAGGAGAGTTTGACCTGCGGGAGACAGATGACCAGCAGGCCGGGCACGAGTGGGCAAAGAAACCCACTGAGGGTCCCCGCCCACAGCAGGAGCATCAGTTGTTAACCAGCAACTTGGAGTTAGCATATCCGGTTGAAAGAGCGCCCCTCTTAGACGACTGCTTCACATTTCACCAGATTCCAAATGTATTTGCTTATACAATTAAAATGCTAAAAAGAAGGAAATGTTATAAAATGTTATAAAGGAGGATAATCTACTGTCTGAAAGAAAATTAGATGCGAATGTAACCCATTTCTAGGTGTACTCCTGAGGTTTCTGCAGACAGAGCAGGTTCACTTAAGTCTGCTGCATCCATGAGGATGAGGACTGAATGGAAGCCATGTCCTCAGCCTCAGCAGCACCTGGGCAGGCTTTCCGGGTGTACTGACACCGTGACTTGGGATTCGGCCCCACATCCAGCTTCCCAGAGGAGCAGCAGAGGAAGGCCCTCCCACCAACCCGATCCCATCCTCCAGGCAAACTCAGCACATGGTGAGCTGGCCCTTTCAGCACAGTTGGCCTCAGGATGCCCTGGGACTTTCCTGCAGGATGGGACTTTCTCGCTCAAGTTAGCTACTGATGAAACAGCATCTTATTTTTCTTTTTTGGGTACTGGGGATCGAACTTGGGACCTCATGCTTGTGAGGCAGGCGGCGGAACCAATGAGCTAAATCCCTGGCCTTACCATGGTGTTTATAACACTGAATATGTGTGTGTGTGTTTGTCACGAAAAGCATCTTCATAAACAAGAATCAAGTCAGCCTGCCACTTAATTGAATTACTTTTCTAAAACCATAAATCCATATTTAACTTATATGAATGATTGTGTTCTTAGTCTAAAACAACTCTCATTTGAATGTAAGAGTGGACTGTTTAATATGACATCACTACTCCACCACTTATTTGGTGGTCAGTAACAAGGAAGGTTATGAAAAGCAGAAATGTGGAGAGACAGTTGTCAAAAGTGAAGATGTTCAGGTGGTCAGATACAAAACCATACACTTGGGATATGGAACTACTCAGGACCCTCATACATGGCTGGTGGTGCCTTAAATTTGAAATTTGGAACATGGTTTGGCTTCATGTACTGAAGCTGAAGACAGGACTACTGAATGGCCCAGACATTCTTCTGCTGGGCACCAATCCAAGAGAATAAGTACGTACGTCCAACAAAAGATATGCATGAGAGTGCTCAGGGCTGCTTTCATTATAATAATAAAAACAGAAACTCCCCAAGTGGCAGGCGAAATAACTGAGAAGCAGGATGCAGGGGTGTGCTCCCACATAGGCAGGCCATGCAGGAATACAGCGAGTGAATCACCGCTACACTCAGTGTCCTAGAAGTGTCTCACATGCATAACCCAGACCCAAAGCAGCTACCACTTTAAGAGCACGGAGGCACTGCCAGAGAAAGGGCGGGTTGTGCACCTCAGGGGAGGTGACATGCTCACATGATGGGTCCAGGGGTCCACCAAACTATACACATCACGCAAACACTCAGCAATGCTACATGTCACTCAAACGGTAAAGAATCACATGCTCCCTTGGGTCACAGCTGCACGGGGCAGAGAAGCCTCGTCACATATCCGTGGAGCGGGAGGTGCTGAGATGCACCCTCATCCTGGCACTTCACATAGGGAACTGAACACAGTGACCCCTGGCTCCACAGCAGGCTCCAACACTGGCTGTTGACAGAAAGATGTCAGCAGGGAAGCAAGGCCCAGCAGGACACCAGCCTGGCCTTGAGCTGGAAGCAAAGATGCAAATACATTGTCCAAGAAGGAAACTGAAGGGCAGCAGTATCTATCCCACTGCTGGTCCCATCTGTGCTCAAGATCTGCCGGTCCTCTTCCTGTGTCTGCAGACACCTCTGGGGACATCCCACTGCTCTCTCTACTTTCAGAGAGTTCCATGCCTTGGGAACACATTCATACAGTGACCTCACTCGCTCCAACAAAAGGAAAGACTGGTGGCTTCTGGTGTCCTCACTGTCATCCGGATGACCCAATCAGAGCTGCAGGCCTGAGGGCTGCTCCCCTCTGCTGGGGGCGCAAGGGCTTCGGGCCAGCACAACTCTAAGACAGGGTGACTGGGGAGGGGCACTCCCAGTGCAGTGCCACTATCCTGGCTGTGCACAGGAGCGATTAGATAAGTGCTGTTCTGGACCAATCAGAAAGTTGCTACTTTGAATCCTTCATTTGAATCTGGCGCTGTTCACAGGACCAATCAGATGAAGCTCTTTTCAATCCTTCATTTGCATGTGGGCACAGCCAATCAAAAGCCACCAATTCTGACCCTTCATTTCCTATAACAGGAAGCCAAAGGAGTTTTTCCATAGGAAGTTTACCCAGGGCATGTTTGATAGGACAGCTGTCCCAGTGCCTTATCTGAGAGGTGGACAACCAGGAATTTTGGATACAAAAGATACCTTTCCCTTATCCTGGTGCGCTGTGAGGCTTTCCCCCAGCCTGTCCCCACTCTGCAGGGCATACTTCTTTTCCACTCTCATGCCCTTTCTGTGTCTTGTCCAGTCCTTTGTTTGGGGTATGGAGAACATGGAAAGAAGCCCCATGGGCCCAGCATCAGACAACATGGCTGTGAGGGCCTTGGACCTGATGCAGCAGTGAGGTGAAATCGGTGGGTGCAGACACTGGCAGCTGCCTCTGTCTCGCTGCCGGGAGCCAATGGAACTGCAGGTCCTCTGAGGATGGGCCGCTGAGTCCAGAACCCTCGGGGAATTCTCAGGGCAGCTCTTTCCCCAGCATGGCAGCCTGCAGCCCACTGTTCCTCCTACACCTCTCTGAGCTTAGGTCAGCGTCCTAGGATGGCGGCAGGTAGCTAAGTCAATGTTTACCAATAAGTGAGGACAAAGGGCTCAAAATATCTGTTTTACAAATGGCAGGATCCTGAGGTTAGCTGTTCACTGTTTCTGTCAATGAAACTGTGTTGCACTGCCTCCCACACCCGTCGGTGGGTCCACACCTGGAAGTATAAGACTCACACCTGTGCTCAGGTGACCTGCAGGTTAGTTGGGGAGCAGAGAGCTGAGAGAGGTCACACTCAGCTACCGGAACATGGAGTCACTTCCGTGTTTCCATTTGCAGAAGTCACCAGCCCAGCAGGGCGTGTGGTACTTTGGGCCCCAGTGTCCCTGGCCCCTGCATGTTTTAAGGTTGGCCATCAACAGATGAATGAATAAAGAAAAATGTGGTATTCGCACACAGTGCAGCACTACCATAAAGAAGGAAAACCTTGAGCCATGTGTAGGAAAATGGGTGCATGGTGAGACCATAATGTTAAGTGAAATAAATCAGACACACAGCTTAAATATCACGCGACTTCTGTTCTGTGAGAAACCCAAAGTGTAAATAAATTAAAGAGTGAAATAAAAGAGGGATGACAGGAATCAGGGAGATCGAGTTTGCAAATGGGAAGAGGATCAAGAGATGAAGGGAGGGGAAGGAAGGCAGGGGAAAGGAAGGAAGGAAAAAGAAGATGTGTGATGTCCACGTACCAACTCCCCATGGGGAATGCAGTCATTACGTAGCGCAAAAATGAACCAGAGTCCTCGGGTGGCTCCCCCTCGGCCTGGCCAGCTGAGTCGAGGGCCCCCTGCCATGGGCGCAGCTGTCCACTGCCTTGCACTGGTGCTGCTCCCAGAGACAACACAGCTCTCTTTCCACGACAGGAACCCTGCCTTGAATGGCTAAGTTATTTCCTGGCCTAGTCGACTCGTACTCCACAGGACA